AATGCCGAAGAAGACGTGTGCTGTGTAACCCAGGCTGCAAAGCAGCCCCCGCTCTCAACGGGAGTTTTGCTTAGCACGGTGTGTGGTTGCTTTCTAGGATGAAGATATCTAAGTGGAGGTGGAGCAGCATCTCCATCAGTGCGCGATCCCAGCTGAGAGGCACCCTGGCCCTTCTTCTTGTGGGCAACGTTGCCTTTGTGATAGCTCAGGTAAGTGCGTCACCTCGCTGGGGGTTCTCTGGGCTTTAAAAGGGTGCGGTGTCTGGGATGGGTGACCCCTGGGAATCGCAGGACTGGCCTGCGCATGCATCAGGTCTCCAGCAAGCGTGAGGATGTATGACTTGGTTTAGCTCTCTAGTTTGGGCTTAACCTAAGTTGTACCTTCCATGGCTAAGAGTGTGCACAGATCACTTCTAGGGTTCCAAAAGGCCATACCCTGCTCTTGGGCGAGCACCGCTTTCTTGGTCCCTGCAGTGGTTGCAGCTGTCATTTACTTTGCATGGAATATTTTTATCCCTTTCCCAGTAAACACAATTAATCGAACTCCCCTAACCAGCAGGTGATTTGGGATGGAAAAATACAACGAGCAATAGCTGGGACCCCCCCGGATGCTCTGTGCCCCTTGTGAAGGGATGCGCGTGCCTCACCGAGTGCAGGCGTGTGGTGGTGATGCTGGTGGAGCGGCTCTTTTGCCCTCTGCGTGGTCACACCACTGCCTGCAGGGGCTGAGGGGTGGGAAGTGGGGATGTCAAGGACCATCCTGAAGTGACAAACCTGGTGGCTCTTGCAAAGAGAGCACATGGGCTCCTCCAGCCTGCTAGCATCCACTGGCATGCTCTCCTGCTGCAGAGTGGTTTTGCAAGGGTTTGCTTAAGCTTTCAGTGAAGCTTTTGGCTGCAACCAGCTCTTCAGCTCCCTGAATTCACTGTGTAGCAAGAGTCAGAGAGCACCAAAAGACTTGGAGAGTTTAGGGTTGTTTGGGAGCTCGGTTTTGCCAACTGAGTGAAACAATGAACACTTCCTTTCCCGAGGAATCCCAAATATTGCCATTTCATTCCAATTCGTAATGAAAGCACAATTGGAAAAACGCAGGGTTTCTGGCAAGATGGAAGTCTCAGACTTGACCACAGATGGAGAAGGAAATGCCCTGTTTGCTCAGGGCAGGCTGGGCGAAGGATGCCTTCTGCCCACCCGTGCGGGCTCTGCGGTGTGGATGCTGACCACCGCTTCTCTCCCCTACCTGCCTGATGCTTCAAGCAGGACCTGGCGCAGACCTCCAACAGCCTGGAGGAGGGGGCAGACGTCACCGCGTACTGGTGGGGCGAGTGGACCAAGTGGACAGCGTGCACCAGGACCTGCGGAGGAGGCGTCAAGTCCCAGGAGAGGCACTGCCTGCGGCAGAGGTATGGTGCCTGCCTGCCAGGGTGTGGGGACCTCCAGCTTGCTGCTGGTGGTCCTGATCCAGAAGGTCATCGCTTGGTAGATAAGCACTGGTGAAAAGGTGTTGTCTGGCAAGCCCTGCTTGTGCAGAAGGTAAGTATGTCCTTGAGCAGGCTGCCATGAGGATGCTGTGTCCTAGGCATCCCTGCCAGGAGGACCAGCCAAGCTTCTCCTGTGCTGGCCCCGAGGTTTCTCCTGTGGACATCAGTGCAGATGGGCAGCAGACCTAGTGTAAGCCCATGCTCAAGGCTTCTGGGCACAGCAGCGAGGACACTGTGGTGCAGGGTTGGTTGGGGACCCACTGATACTGGCTGCTCTGTACATGGCTCTGCCCTCGCTGGGCTGTGTGGTTGCCAGATGGCACCTTGCAAACCTTGTCCCCAGGCTCTCGTCCCCATCGTACCTCCTAGGATGCTGTAATAAGAATAGCTGATGCTGCAGGTAACAAAGCCGGAGAGACCTTTGCTGTAGACTCCGGTGGGACCATGATAGATCTCTCTGTGGCTCTGCTACATGGAGACCAATCTTACAGAAGCAGGGGAAAAATATATTTTAAAAAAGGGAAAAGAAAGGTTTCTGACCCCTGACTAACCATCGTTTCTTTATTCAGAAGAAAGTCAGTGAGTGGGCTGGCTAATAAAACTTGCACTGGAACATCCAAAAGATACCAGCTCTGCAAAGTACAAGTAAGGATATCCTTTTTCTCATCAGGAACACTCGATACAAAGTGTGGGGAGTCATGCTTGCTTAGTGCAACGGCATTTCTGTGCCCCTCAGAGGGGACACTGTTTGTCCTGTAGCAGACACCCTGTTGCCCCTCCAAGCAACTGGAGTTGCTTTCTTTGGTGCCCATCACCGTTGTGTCGGGGCTTTGAGCCTTTTGCCTTTGGGGGCCATAAAACTCAGTGGTGGTTCTTGCACCATCTCCTGGGGGGGTTTCCCCTGGCTGTCCCTGCAGTGGGAGGAGGAGAAGGATGGGGCAGGCAATGGAAACACTCCTTGCAGCCGGTCGAGGTGTGCCAGAAACCTTTCCCACATTTTGTTTTCATCAGGATATTAATGTATCCCATTCTAGGAGTGCCCTGCGAACGGAAGGAGCTTTCGAGAGGAGCAGTGTTCATCATTTAACTCCCATGTGTATAATGGCAGAACGTATCAATGGAAACCTTTATATCCTGGTAACAAGACATTCTTTGTGTGTTTCATAATGCTTAGCCAAAATATTTTGATAGTTATGATGCTATAGCCTGCAGGAAGGCTCCTCCTCTGCTGTTTTAAAATGATTTTTCAGAGACACAATCAGCTGTCTCCCAAGTTCAAAGGAGTGTTTTGCAGCTGCAGGGTAGCTTGGAAATAAAATAACATGAATTTATGGCTGTAGCCTGTGTTGGTCATAGCTCCCGAGGACCAGAGAGCTGAAAAGCTGGAGGAGGATGCAAGAGCATGGGGTGATGGACTGCGCTGGTAGGGAGAGTCCAGCTCACCCGAACAAGTGTCCTTTGAGCTGGGGCCGCTACTGGCCGCGTTGCGTTTCGGTGACATTTGCTCAGTCCCACGCCCTTCGTGTGCTCTGTCAGACGTCACCGAGATGCGGTCAGTCAGTTTGGTCATCTGGGGTGCGCGACACAGAACTGCAGAAATAACTTAGAAGTCAGAGACTGAGATTTTATTTAATTTTTAGGCACCTAACTCCCATCAAAATCAAGCATTAAACAAAAATCATGGTGAATTTTTAGACCTATTGGGAACCCAGGACCCTTCTCCTGAGGAGGGGACTCCTGAGTGCTGGTTCTCCAGATTCACAGTGCCCTTTGGGTGTCTAAAAATAGAGGTGGGATCTAATGCAACTCTCTTATTTTAGGGGTCTCTGTACATACCTAAGAACAAGTTTGCTTCATGGAATTACTTGTTGCCTCCTTTTTATGTGAAACAGGCCCGTGTCTCACCAGCCTTCTCGGCAGGGTCAGCGTGGTAGGACCTGACCCGTGGCAGGCTGGTTAGCTGTAGCTACTTGGCGGCTCTTGGCCCTTTCCTATGGCAAGGCGACAGTTTCTTTAAACACATTTGCTCTTCAAGATGATTCACCAGAATAGTTACAGTGAATTGTTTTGTTTTTTAGCAGGCGTTCACGTGGCTCCTGGGGAAATTGCAGAATAATGTTTTGACATTGATGCTGTCTTGCTTGGGCACGCAGGCCAGTGGGTATATGACCGCTCACTAGTTGGTAGAGTTCAACACTTAGCATTGGGTTTCTGATGCAAATATGGATTTGTCATTTGCTTCCTGTGGTTATTACAAAATGTGGGACTGCTGTGCCAGTGGATGCAGCCAGCCAGTTGCCTGCAGAAAGCAAAGGGCGAATTAAGTCCAACTTGGGTGAATGTTTATGGAAAAGTTCTTATGTTTTAAGCTGCTATGGTTTTGTATATAGTCTTACTTGTATATTGAATATAGTCTTACATGTATATGTATTTATAACAATATACCTATGTTAATTTAACTCATGTATTACATCTTGATATGCGAACACGCACATGTTTTTGTGTAATGTGTATGTAATCGCTGCTGCAAGTCCTTGCACGGAACAGTGGCTGCTGCTGCTTCTCCTGGGCCCATGCTGGTGGTCCTGCTGGGTGCCTCTGTTCCTGGCAGCAGAGGGGACTGCCTGGCTGTGCAAAGGTTTGCAGCAGTGAGCTGTCATGCTCTCAGAAGTGCAATCTCCTGTCCAGCCTGAAATGCAGGAGATGGTAGCTTCTGAACTGCTGGCTGCTGTGCAATTGTGCTGTTGCTGCTGTTTAGCTTGGCAGAGATTCATTGACATTGGTAGGATGAAAGTTATTGTGTTTCTGCTGTTTTGAATATATCTTTATATCCTTTCCCCTTAGATGACTATGTTCACATTTCTAGCAAGCCCTGTGACCTCCATTGCACCACTGTGGATGGTCAGAGACAGTTAATGGTTCAGGCTCGGGATGGAACATCCTGCAAATACACTGATTTCCGAGGGGTTTGCGTGTCTGGAAAATGTGAGGTTGTTAAACATTATAGCAAAAATATTGTTAGTAGTATTCAGAAAATTACAATGGGTGCGACGTTTGCCTGACCCTCAATACTCTATTTGTGCATTTTTTAGCCGATTGGATGCGATGGCATTCTCTTTTCCACCCACACCTTGGATAAATGCGGAGTTTGCCAAGGAGATGGGAGCAGCTGTACTCATGTGACCGGCAGTTACCGGAAAGGAAATTCTCATCTTGGTAAGGCTTTTTGGGGAACCTCTTGCTTTATTTGTATCAGAGGACTATTTTTTTTTTAAATGCATTTATTTTTTGGTAAATTGCTTCTAGCTCTTACCAACTGCCCTGCTTCAGCAGTTCTGATGTGTTCTATGTGTGTTAACGTCACTTGTAAATTGTCGCTTGTAAATTTGCAATAACCACGCAATAACTTTGCGTGGTGCTTGTCAGAAGCCTGAGGTCTCTGATGCTGGATGGTGCAAAAGGGTTATGCAAGTCTGGCATCTATTTTAATCTTATTTCTCATGACCCAGACTAGAAATAAATGATTTGTAATAACAGGAAGCTACGATATTTTGAAAGACCAGGATTTCCAAAATTAGTGTGATGTAAAGCAACAGGAACCCACTTCTCCTAAGTATAGCAATCTAACTCGGGCATAATGATTAATGCTTTCTGATGATCAGTTTAAGATGGAGCAAGCTGCAGGAACTTCAGTGGCCTTAGGAGGACTTGTCCCATCACTTAGCTAGGGCTAAGCAAAGGGGAGTTGGAGGAGAAACAAACTGTAACCTCTTGCTGGGGTTTTGGGAAGGCTGGCTACCGCAGGGTTCAATACTGAACCACAGGACACGTTCTCTAGCTAGCAAAGCAGTCTTCGGATAGTTTTTCTTACACCAATTTTGATAAACGTGATATTTGTGCAGGTAAGGATTGCATCCTTTCTCCCCTTGGCTGTGCCTTTCCACCATAAACCAGGATGCAGAGTTCGCACGTTTTTCTGTTATTGATAAAGTCCTGTTTGCAGCCTAACACTCATCAGCGTTAGCTTTGTTTAATCCATAACTCCTTGAAAAGTTTTGGATCAAGGCCAGTTTGCTTGCTGTATTGCAGTACTGACTACTGAGTGTTTTGTTCAGATTACTTGTTACAAAGTTCCTCTCGTTAATCTGTAGTTTCCCATAGGCTATTCTCTGGTAACGCACATTCCTGCCGGAGCAAGGGATATCCAGATAGTAGAACGGAAAAAATCTGCAGATGTTCTGGGTGTGTATAACCTCTTGGTACTTCCCTACAATGCATGCCTAAACTAGCGAATGCTTTTCCCGATGTGAATATGAATGTAGTTTTATTGCAGACATGAGCTAAACCCACAGTCAATGTAAATCACGACCGTGTTGTCTCAGCCAGTGCACTTCTCCTTGTTGTGGTCTGAGCACCTGGGCTGTATATATCAACATTTTGATTTAACGCAGAAACTGTTGGTCAATATTATTGCTACTTCAGTGTTGTATGACAAATACACTGGTGCCAGATCACAGATAGCCTGGTGACTTCACCTCTCTTGTGACTTCCCCTTGATGTTCTCCTCCTGCTTGGGGAATGTGCAATGGCCACATGACAACAGCACCGAGGGGATGTGACCTACACGTTGCCTTGCTGAAGTGTTGGTGACCACACCGTCCATCTCACGATGGAGATGGCAGAGATGCTCAGGAGGAGTGTGGAAAAATCTGGACTAGCCCAGGAGAGCCACAGTTGCTACCCTGAAGCTGTGCTGCCTCAGAGGCTCGTGGCCATGTGCAGGAAGGCTGGAATGAAAAAGGCTTGATTTGGTACAGTTCCTGGGCTAGCTCTGGATGAGCTGTCTTGGGCCACTGCTGGGTCAAGTGGCATCCGCTGCTGTTGTTGGCCATCTGACAGCCTGCTCGTTGTCTGCAGAGCTGTGACTATTGAATGTTCATGCTACGCTAGTGCCAAAAGGGTGAGAGGAGCCACGGACTAGTGTAAGCCACGTACCCAGGAGTTCGCAATGTAGAGGGACACGTGGCCCAGAACTCTGGGCACGTATCTTGCATGATACGTGTTGGAAATAGGTGAGACGTGTTGTAGTGTAGGACAAACACTTGTTTCATTACTGTGACACTCATAACTTTATCCCCTGAATGAACAAGTGGCAATATTGCATACCTCTGCTCTTACGTGTGATGGCACTGGTTTTTTCTCTCTCGTTTGAAGCTGTGGCTGATGAAGCTGGGTACTATTTCTTCAATGGGAACTACAAAGTTGACAGTCCGAAGAACTTCAACATTGCAGGCACGGTGTTCAAGTACCGCAGGCCCATGGATGTTTATGAGACCGGCATAGAGTATATTGTTGCACAAGGACCGACAAATCAAGGGTTGAATATAATGGTGCGCTTTGACTTTTCAGGTTTGCAAGGCTGGGGGTGATGCGGAAGGGAAAATCTCTGTTGGACTGAGGAAGGGGTGGGTGTGGAAGCAAAGTCCTGGCGTGGTTTCCCAGCTTTCCTGGGCAGTTTGAGGAGGAGAGTGGGAGCAGTGACTGTGCCCAATTCCTTGCACGAATCTATTTTATTTGCGTCAGTGCTCTCAGATGCAGGCAGGACTGAGAAGAATGAACATGGGCTTGGTAACCCCTCTCTCTGCAGGGAGAAGATGCCTCAGGCACTGCGGGGGCATTTCTCTTCTAGCTCTTGGCATTTTTATCCAAGTTACCTGGCAGGAAAAGTAAAAATAAAAAATTGCTTTCAAGAAAGATTTGGGGTTTAAGTTTTGTGCACTTCTGTAAGCTGACTATTTAAAACCAGGCATATGAAGAAAAGTCATTTAATTTTTCATCTGGGCAGCCAGCCAGGGCCCAACTCCTGCCATCTTCCACATAGCCACAGGCTTCTCTGGAAGGGGAAGAGATGACTCCTTGGGTGCTTATAAAGCACTGGACCAGTAAAAGATGTTGTAGTGATCAGCTGTGAGTCCCCATCCCCAGTGGGGATGTAGTAGGTGAAGGGGTGTGTGTATATGCTCCTTATTTGCCATAAAGCCACAAAAAATGGGTTTGCAAGTGATGGGAGAGCCACTTCAGAAGTTCCTGACCGAGTGTCTGGTTGCTCAGCAGCAGAGGAGGGAGTGTGACCTGCTGCTCCCAGTCCCTGCGCTGGGGCTAATCCCCAGGGCAGTGCTGCCAAATAACCCTTGGAGAATTGTGCTGGGCTCCAGTTGTAAGAAGTTGGCAATACAATGGAAAGCAGATTGGAGATAGCAAAGTAGATGCTCACCAGCTGTCAAGTCCAAGATGAATCACAAGCTTTGTGTGCCATATACTCACTGCACCCGCTAATAATTTAATTTGTTTGCTAGGTCTGGAATCAAAATGGCAAGAGTCCATCCATCACATTTGAATACACCCTCCTGAGGAAGCCACACTCAAACCTGCAGCCCATCTACTACACCTTCTCTGAGTCAGATAGCGAAGAAAGCAGAGAGTTTGATGGAGATGTGCCATTGGGTTTTATCCAGCACAATGCAACCTATTTTGGGAAAATCTCCAGGGAAAGGATAGACTTGGAGAACCAGGTGTTTGGAAGGCAGGACACGGAGGAAGATTTAAACTTGAGCAAAGGTCAGGAAACCAATGAGGTCTATGAAAGAGCAGAAACAATTGACTGTGAGCCAAAACTGAAGGGCAAACAACCCCAAGGTAAGGAGGAGACTTGGGCCTCACTGTTCTGCTTCTCAGAGCTCTTGTTGAGAAACGCTCTGTTTCTACCTCTGGTGATTCTGCTGGTTTGTTTTTTGGAAACCTCGGAAAGTTCTTTAAAACATCTCTGCTCACAAATCCTCTTTGCCCTTCAGGTTCTGGTTTCTGGTGGGTGGGGTGGCTGTGGGTAAGGTCTCACTGCTGATGCCCTGCCATGCTTTGCCTCATGCCAACGACAGGAGGGAGCCCTGGGTGCACAGAGATCCCTGTCACAACATCCTCCGTCACCTCCCACCTCTGCCCACCCCCAGCAACCTCCTTGCCACTCCAGTCCCTTGGGCATCCCACCACCAAACTGCCTTGAATGCTTTCCCAGCATGGCTGCATGGGCTCTGGGGCCAGGAGGGCATCTTCCTTTCTGACCTCTGCTATTGCTTGGGGCAGTGCTGGCAGGTGCTGAGCTCTCCTCTGGCCGTGCGATAGCAGAGTGAGACCCACAGAGCTGCACACACTTCCCAAAGGAGTACAGCCCCATGAGATTCCCCCTTCCCAAGACCCCAACTCCTGCCTCGAACCTCCCGTGGCTGCTCAGGCTCTGGCGTGCCCCTGCTGCTCTGGGCTGCTTTCGCCTCCCCGCCTGAATGCATTTTGTGGTTGTCACTGTTGTTTCCCCCTGTTGGCTCCAATCTAGATTCAAACGTAACCAGGTCTACTTACCAGACAGACCGTGACGACAGAGACTTCAACCCCAGGTTCACCTCCAGGGAATTCCTTTCGGAGAACGCCATCACGGACAAGCTGCTGGACAAGACCTCAGACTCCAAGGAGCTGGTGCTCAACATGACCATGAACAGCATCTTTGCCCAGGGAGACCAAATCAACTCTGTGGGGTCACACATTGACAGCCTCTATGTTGACTATGAGGACACCGATGGCGTTGTGACCTACACCATTAATAGCACCTACATGGAGCTGAGCAATGGCAAAGCCATCAACACGTCTGCAGAGACGCCGTTTCCAAATGCCACTGTCACCATAACCAGCCCTCAAGGGAACAGAACCCACAAAGCAAGGTAGGAGACATGTCTTTAACCATAGTCAATCCTATTTGTTGCTGTTCTTGACTCATAATAGCCCCGTACTCAATGCAGACCCCATTGCCTGGTTTCTATCTGCTTTGGAAGTCAGCAGGTAAGTGGGGGTAGGGTGATGTATGCGAAAGCTTTCTGTCGGGGCTTAATTTGGAAGGAAGGGCCAGAGGTTTGGGAGCAGAAAGTCAAGAGAGTATTTAAGCGACAGGAAAACTCACCGCACTCCTGTGGTGGGGTGTTGGCAAGTCCATGCTGATGGCTGCCAGCTTGTGCATTGCTCTCTGCCTGTCATAGCTCCTTATCAGAGCCGTGACCCCAAAGAAGCCTCTTCTCTTGATGCCCTGCTCTGATTCCCCAGGCCCCTTTCTCTGAGTTTTGATGCAGCAGAAGTTGGTCCTGGACCCTTTTTACCCACCCTGTTGACTGCCACCCACGATCCTCCCCATTTGTGTTGGCAGGAACGTGCTTCCAGCAGCTCCCAGGCATGGCCCTGGCTGCTTAACTACTGCTGGAGAGGCAGAGCAGGACAGCGGGAGCTCTTCTGTAGGGCCTGCAGACATAGCCTGGGTTTGCTACCTCGAGGGATGCAGAAGCAGTGCAATTAGTCTCTACTTTGACAAGAATTTCAAAAGCTCTCCAGTGGCAGCTCATTGATTGATATTAGGGCTGTCACTTCAGGATTCCTTGAATGGCTGGTTTCTAAAATGTAGTGGGAAGGTAAAAAAAGCTGAATCTATCTTTAGCAGCAGAATTCATCCAGGCAAGGATGGGCTGGCTGAAAGGGAGTCTCAGGATAGTACTTGTCCACAACAGCCTGTCTCTAGGGTCTGTTGGAGTGTACTGGGGCTCTCTGGGGAGCAGCCACAAGTTCAAGCAATCTGTGGATAGCTGGGGCTGAAATCAGGGTCTTGGGAGTCATCCAGCTGTGGATTTGGGTCCTGCTGTGCACCCCCATGGCTTGTTTGGGGCCCACAGCACCCAAGCCTTCCCTGTGGGTCTCCTCCTGGCTCTGCTGCTCTGACTTTTCTGTCTCCCAGTCTTCCCATCAGTAAAACACGGGCTATGATGCTGAGCTTCAGAAGATGTAAAGCACTGAGCAGATGCTCTCTAGTTGTAGTTACTGTATTTACCCAGAACTTAAACTAGCTTATGCTAAAGCAACTTATGCTAAAGAAAATGTCCATACAGCCAAATGTATCAACAAACTCGTTCATGATAAGAGCATTAAAACATTGCCAAGGGCTCAAGTCTATCATCTCTTCTCGTGGCTTGGCTTGGAAACTGCCTTCAGCTCCCAAAGCCGGCATTTCACCAGCACTCATAGGTGAGGGGGGTGCCATCAGCTCCCCTGCCTTGCTGGGCCGTGAGGCCGCATCCAGCTGGGGCTGTAGCCTGGGCTGGGAGATGCTCAGCTCCTCCCTGGCTGTGGCAGGCTGGGCTCAAGGGGCTGCGGAGGGTGGCTGCAAGGCCCGTGGAGGCAGCTGGGGGGCAGCTGGGGTGCAGGAACGGGCTGCTTGGAGACATGTCATTTTATTAAAAAATACTGTGGGGCAGAAGGCAACAAAACAACCTGCACCTCATCTCAAGAGGCTTCACCCACCGTAGGGAGGCGTTGCTCTCCCCTGGCAGTTCAGAAAGTCCCGTAATGTCATCGACAACAGGAGCATCTGGGTGTGTAGGCACTTGTGGAGGAGGGAGAGACAGGCATGGTTGCAGGCTCGGGGTCCGGCTGTTGTGCCACCACCGCAGGGATGGGCAATCCTCGCTTCCCGGGACCGCGGCAGAAGGGACTGTGTTGGGACAGCCTGCTTGTGCCCGGGCCTTTATCCCTTCCCCCAACTTTTTATTTGTCACTTCAAGCCCAGTTGCAATCGCAATGGTAGTCACTAACCTGTATCTCCTGCGTGGGAATGCTGGACGAGGAGCCCCAGCCCTGCGCAGAGGCCAGGGTGAAAGCTCCTGCTGGCACCCAACACAGCAGGATAAAGCCCATACGGACAGCGGGATGTGCTTTTGGGTTTGGCATGTCAAGGGTGGGGTGCTGGAGCGTGAGCCATGGGGAGAGCTTTGGGGATTGGACTTCTTCCTCCAGGAGGAAGGGCAGGGGAGGGGACAGCCAGGAGCTCCACTGAAGGAAATGGTGATGGGGCAGAAGGGAACACCCCCTGCCCTGGGCGTGGGGCGGGGTGGGGGATCCCCGTCCCTGGAGGCGGGTGAAACTGGACTGTGCAAGGTCCTGTGGGACCCAGTCTCTTATCTGGGTCAGCCCAGTTCTGGGTGGGAGCTTGGCCTTCAGACCTCCCGTATCATTCCTGGGCTCGGTTTGGGACGGAAGGTGGCTTTTTGCTCACTTTATTCCCTGCCCATGAACCAGCAAGGGAGGGTCATCTCTCTGCAGCCTGTGACCAGCCAGTCTGTACGTGCAGGATAGTGTTGGTTGGAGGTAGGGTATTTTATTTCCTTCAAAACTGTTGTAGTTCGTAGCGTGGCTGGAGCTATCTGGTTATAGGAGCACCTCGCACCAGTCTGGCGTGTTATTTTTCCTCGCTGGGAACAAGCCCCACTGGCGCGGGAATGGGCGGGTGGCTCTTGTGCCGTGGTAGGGATGCAATGCTGCTTTTCCTCTCCTGGAGCACTTCAGGTCTTTCTGCAGCATGCCAGGGCAGATCCAGGCACCCTCGGTCCTTCATCCTGTGCCCATGCTGCGGTGCACAGCCAGGGCTGATCCTGCAACAGGAGCCATGAGTTTCCCCCTTTGCTTAAAAATAAAAACTGAAATAAAACACAGAAATGTGAGCCCAGGGCCTCTGGACGTCGACCTGTGGTGTTTGTGTGCGCTTGTTAGGATTATTCTTCTGCTATGGGGCTGTTCTGGGAAGACGGGCAGCCCCGACCTCGGCTGGGGGTGAGGGGCTGGTGCTGATTTTTGGTGCAGTTGCTTGAAGAGCAGAAGCAAAGTGCAGGCAGAGAGGAAAATACTTGACTTTTATAATAAAGCTCCTAATAAAGAGAGAAAAAGAAAAGAGGAAAAACCCACCAGCTTTCTAGGACAATGTGCTGCTGTTTGCATTTAGAGGAGAACAAAATGACAGTTTTGTCCTTGCTTGAAATGGTGAGAGCGCTAAACACTGCCCTATGACCAAACTTCTGATTTATCTGGAAAGAACTTGTCCCTGCGACCTTGTTACACATAGAAGAAGCTCTTTATTTAGGATCACATACATTAAAGGGACACTGTTGAAAAATTTTCTGTCCTCAGTTGTAGTATAAATCTTATTTTGAAGCTTATTTTCTCATTTCAAGGGAGAAGAGTCCTGGTCACAGGGTAACTTGGTGGGGTTTTGGTTGGGTTGGTTTTTTTTTTCTTTTTGTGTCTCCAAGAGCAAGGTATAGACCGGAGGATCTAGGTAGTACCCTGTTTTCCAGGCAAATTAAAGTACAAAACCCAGATTTTGACTATGGTTTAATGGGTCTTGCTGAAAACTGTCATCTTGTGAGCCCTCTCCTGGCTGGGTGACAGCAGGCAGCACACCAGCGGCAGCCGGGATCAGGGGCTGATGCGGGTCCCCAGGCAGAGCTATTTGGGCAAGATAAAGCACTATTTATAGGGAGCAGAGATTGTTATTTTCCTGCAAAAAATAGTCGCATTCATTTCGGTTCCATTTCAAACGCAGGAAGCGACCATTTGCCAAACTGACAGAGCAAAATCAACAGGGAAAATGAGATTGTTGTTGTTTTTAATCCTTCTGGAGGCTCAGTGCTGGCGGTGGAAGGAGGGTGGGTCTGAAAGGAAACGGCTGGATTCTCAACAGTGTCCTTTTAAAGGTTGATTTGGTAGACTGGACCTCAACTTTTTCTTACGAACAACTAAATAAGGCAATTTCAGAGCTTCTGCTGCCTAGAAATCATACAAGCTGCATATCTCGCCAGGCCAGAGACAACTGGATGTCAGGATACAACCTTGTACGCTATTTCAGTGTAGCCGTTTCAAGGGTTTGAACAACGGTATGAGAACAGAATTGAAGCCTTTTGTTGTAAAGGTGCAGTATCCCTGATGTGTTACAACCTTACAGCACGTAGGATGCACTGAACTGGGAGAAGCTGTTATTCTTGCTTTGACAAATGCTTTTTCGTACACCAGGCTGACTCCGTTACTCCTTTACCGATGGCATTATATGTTTGAGCACAGCGTGGATATGAGAGATGCAAATTACCGATCTAAAATAAACCAAAGTAAACCAAACCAAGAGTGGCAAAAGCAGCGGGTAGGCAAATGGCATGCCTTGGTGTTTAGAAGCAGAGCGTGCTCTGAGAAGCAAGCTTATAAAGTCCTGTGCCACGTGTAGGCTCTCGGAAGGAGTGAGCTGCTGAGATTTGAGCAGCCGAAAGCTCTGCTGCGTTGAGCAGCGCGAGTCGGCACGCCCGGCCCTGGAGACGCAGGGGAGGAGATACTGCACCTTTAGTCGCTGTATGCCGAGGGCCAGGTGTATTTGAGCAGAAAATGCAAACTTTGTTAAATTCTGAACTGTTTCTACTTGTGGGTATTTTTATCCCATTCTCTCTATTTCTAGACAGTGGAAGCTCTGCCTCTAACCGGGCTGGGGATTCTACTTGGGGCTCAGGACAGGTATGTTGTGAAACAAACCAAACCGATTAAAACAAACAAACAAACCCCAAAAAATCAGAAAAACCAAACCCAACCGCCAAACAAAGCAAATCCCCTCCCAAACCCGAACCCAACCGAACTGCAGCCTGCTGGCAGATGTGTGTGTCTGACGTGGCCTATCACCGCTCGCCTTGTAAATGCCTTTTTTTGTTTTGTTTTGTTTTTTGTTTTTTTGTTTTGTTTGCTTATCGCTAGAAACAGATTGAAGTTGTTAAGAAAGGGCCAAGGTGTGAGTGCTGCTGACATGTACAGGTGGAAGCTTTCCTCCCATGAACCCTGCAGCTCTACATGTACCACAGGTAGTTATAAGAAGCAGCCAAATTCTGCACAACCGCTGAAATCACCTGGTGTGTGAGTCACTTTTATGTCTGTTAGGGATGGGAAGGACCTGGTGATGTGTAGGGGATCTCGTGATCTCTGGAGCTGGTTTAGCCCAACCCCAAATCTGCTCCACCGGGTGCAAACACGGGGAGAGGAGCCGGGGTGCAAGGCGTGCAAAGCCCTCCAACCTTGCGGGTGCATCAGGGGCTGGGTGCTGGTGCCCAGCGTGTCCGTCATCCTGCAGAACATCCTCTCTTCGGGGAGCTCTGAAGGTCGCCTTTGCTCCCCAGCCCAGCGGGGACACGCTGGAGCTCGGCAGGATCCCCAAACCTGTGCTGAGTCTCAGCATATTGTCTCCTTTTTTTTTTCTTCTTTTTTTTTTTTTTTTTTCCTCTCCTTCCTTCCCTTTTTGACTGTTCAGAGGGGTTTGAAAAGCTCAGCTGCTTCCCCACAGAGTGAAATTTTGAAGATTGTTCAGCTCTGGCATGAAACAAAATAGCATTTGGCATTTTGATTTTGTTTTGTTTCTCCCACTCCTTCTACCCTGGAGCCTGATCTTGGCTGTGAGGGTGTAAATCTGGAACAGAGATGTAGATGCCAGGGATATCAAAAATGAGCCTGTATTCTTTTTTCCCCCCCAAAAAAGCTTCAAGCCACCTGATCTCTCTCCTCGGTTAGGGGTCCGGGGCCCTGGGAGCCCATCAGTGTGCTGAAGCACGCGCGCGGGTCCTGCGCTCGCCTGCGCCGCTTCCCAGCAGCCTGAAATAATCCAGATCCTGCAGTGCTTCTGCAATTAGAAGGAAAAAAAGGGGGAGAGAGGCGATTGTAATCTAAGGGACATCTCTTAAGAGAGCAAATGCAAGGATTTTATTTTTTAAGCATTTGTTCTTGTCCAGCAGACACGTGCCCACAGCGTGCCGGCAGCAGGAGCTTCGCAAGCCATCCCTTTCCCCGGGATCTTGTCGGCTGTGTGTTCTGGGACATTTTTGACTTCTTTGATCCCCTCTGAACAAATTTTCCCCTTGACGGGGCCAGGTTGCTCTGCCCCGGTTTGCAGCTAGCAGGGAGAGGTTTTACTTAAATTTCTCCTTTCTTACTGCCTTTTCTTAATGACATATCGCAGAGAAGCAATACCATGTCAAGAGCTGTAGATCTTTTTTTTTTTTTTTTCTTTTTTTATAAAAGTTTCATGTAAACCATATGTTCCCGAGAGCTGCAACTCTTGTTACCTGTAGCCAGAGCAGCCTCCTGGTCCGCAGCCAGGTCCCAGAAAGGGCTCCACAAGATTTACTCTGGCACCGCAGGCTGCGGGGGAACAGGTCTCGCTCTGACGACACTGGCTGCCTGCGCTTTCGGTGGGGAGCAGGAGGGGCAGGTGCCTCCTTGCAAAGCCCCCGGGAGCCCTTCCTTGGCCCGGA